TATTGTAACATCAACAGTTGTTTTGGCACCTTAAATAGAAAGCTAATCCTTTCACTTGGATGTGTGTAGACGATTGTGGGAGTGAGGATTCAAACTAAACTAGTTTTAATAATCTAGACCTTCTGTCATCTACCTTTGAGTTTAAACACCATTTTCAATGTGAAGAAAAGTGGTACAATGTGAATTTCATAAAGTGGAAGTCTTTTAAAATATAGTAAAGTCTCAACTGCCAATTTGTAAGTGATATCAGTTGTTCAGAATGAGATTAATCATCAGTTATTTGGCCTTACCATTAGCTGTCTTTGTCATGTGCTTAGTCATTTGTGTACTTACATCTTTGAGAATCATATAACAACTTCAGACATTTGGTAGGGTTTTTGAAGTAGATTTAAGATCCAAGAACATAGGAGGAAATGTCCAGAACTGGTATGGGCATGTGTAAATTTCACAGTGCTCTTGTGGAAGAGGTGGCTAGGAACCCTGGGATCTCTGCTTAGAAGACTGAGAACTCTGGAAGTTATAGATACAGAGCAGATGATACTGTGAGGGTGGTTGAGCACATACCCTGCTGTCATTCCTTTTCATCATTTATTCATTAACCAGCGTCTTCCTTCCGAATCACCAGTTTTGATAGGCTCTTTTTTCCTTTATAGACTTCACCTACGAGTGCATCATGATGATAAAAGATACGAGTGTGATGAATGTGGAAAAACATTTATTCGCCATGACCATCTTACAAAGCACAAAAAAATACATTCAGGTAAGCTGTATGTATTTGTGTTGCAGCTTCCACCACTGTTTTGGAAAAACACTGTCAGGAACAAACACAACAATGTTGCTTCTTGTTTATGTTGGCTGTAGTTTTAATACCTTAGCATTCGTTGACTACCTCTTGGTAATGCTGGTTTTACAGTCATTTCTGGAAAAGCATCTGGAAAAAGAAATAATCTTATGACATGTTCACTGAAATTTTAATCATTTGGCCACCCTTTGTGAATATAAAGCACATTTGAAAGTTTGGTTTTGGATTCATTTTCAGAATTACAGTTTGCTGTTGTGTTGATATGTGCAGCAAAGCTATTGGCATATCCCTGAAGAAACAACCTATTTCTCACTGTAATTGCTTTTGAGAAGTTGGTGGAAGTTTGATATTTTAAAGAGAAATTGTTGCAATTCGATATTAAAGTTTATGTTGTAATGAATTTTGAAATTTTATGTTTAGAAAAGAGTACCTTAATAACCCTGATCAATTTTTCAGATCTTTATAATGTATTTATCATTTTTGTATTCTGGGGATTTCTTTCATATTTTCCTCTCAGATTGATGTTCAGGAAGTACTAAGAGAGCCAACTATGTGAGCACAGTAATGGGGAAAGAGCGATCTCTATGAGCACAGTAGAACAGGTGATTATTATTATTATTATAAACATAATTAAATATAAAATATGTGACAGGTCATTTTCTCAGCGGTCTCAGTGAGGCAAATTGTGTTTACTTTAAGACATGTTGAAGGTCTATTGACATTTTGCATTGAAATTGTACAGTTTCATTTCTAGTAAGAAAATCTGAATTTCTAATATAGAAGCACATACATGTTAGTATTGAGACAGTGATGTTTAATGATCAAGCCTTTGTACCTAAATTTAATAATAGGTCACCTACTAGAATTTTCCATTGTATTTGTAATTTGGCTCATTGCAAATGTAAGAAATCCCCATAGATGAAAAATCTTTTTAAAGACAAAGATCTGAAAATGTTCAGGTCCTTTTTCTAAACAGTGAATTAGCTCATCTCAGTTTAATGTGTGTTCATTTGAGGTGTTTCATATCTAGATTATGGATCTTAAATATCCTGGGTTTGGAGTAATTTTATTTATCTTGTTCTGTTACATTAAAAGGTCAGGTTTGAAGTCTACCATGGAAGGCTACTGATTTCTTCTCCAAGTGAGCAAAGCATACACATTCATGAAATTAGGCATAGATTCTTTGAGTAAGGTATTTGAGTAAAGGATATAAGGGAAATAAGCCAGTTTAAAGGGTGGCTTTATTTGCTGTTATATTTCCCATATGCAGTCTTTGGACTTTTTTTTCTGGAAGAAGCAAAACTGAAATATATATTATGGTTTAAAAAAAATTGGGGATTTTGTTTTCAGGTGAAAAGGCACATCAGTGTGAAGAATGTGGGAAATGTTTTGGTCGTAGGGATCATCTCACTGTTCATTACAAAAGTGTACATCTTGGAGAGAAAGTTTGGCAAAAGTAAGTGAAAAAGCAAAATTTCTCATTATTGTATTGGCTGAATCTTGGCTGGAGAGAAGTTAGAAGTTTTTGTTCAGTTTGTTTACTTGGGGACAGTTCATTTGCTCTCATTTTCTTTTTTCTGCAGTCTTAAAAGAACTAGTGAAAAAATACTTTTACCATCTTGCTTTCACTTAATTTAAAGGCTGGTAGAAGATAGACATTGACTTTCACCTAAAGACTAATCATTTCACAGATATCTTAGTCCTCACAATTAAAATTCGATTTTGATATTAACCTAAAAATATTTATTAGACATTCCACTATACTGTCTACTGTGTTAATTTGGGGGCCAGTTAAGCATTATTTATATCTGTCTATAATAAAAATAAAGGATTTTTCTTTCCTTTTAATTTAGGCATGAAATTTACTTTGTTCTTAAGTTCTAATGTAGAATATGTTTTAGGTGAACTAATGAGTGCAGTGTTAACTTTGAATGCAGATTTTGAGGTTTTTACTGTTTCTTTTAATAAGGTTCAGTATCTATATTCTTAAATTGAATTATAATTTACTTGAAATGAAATTAACTTGTTTTAGTCTTGTAATCATCATCATCATCAAAATGGAGAATAGTTCCATTACCACAAAAGTTTTGCCTTGTCCCCTGCTTCTTATTTAGCCCAGCAATGATCTGTCTTTGTCCTTGGATTATTTCCTTTGTGTATTTAATAACTGATTAAAAGTTGAGTTGATTTAAGGCAGTTTGAAGTTAAATCCTAGGAAGTTTTTTTAAAGATTGTTTTGTTTGGTATGCATAGCTGGAAAAGGAAGACCAGAAACCAGCTCTGTGCTTCAGAAGTTTCCACACTGCTTCAGACTTCTGGGCCTTATGACATGGCAACTGGCTGTACTTATTAGCACGTAAATTATTTTTATTACTTATTCAAGTTATACAGAAATACTTAAACTTATTTATTTTCTTAGATATAAAGCAACATTTCATCAATGTGATGTTTGTAAGAAAATTTTTAAAGGGAAATCAAGCCTGGAAATGCATTTTCGGACGCATTCAGGTAAAACTTAGAGGGTTGTTTCTATGTATCTTGTATAATTTTCAGAAGTAAAATATGGCCATGTGTTACTCTTGTCTAACATTTTTAACATAATATTTTTACTTGTTATATTAAAGTTCCATCATGAGTAAGCAGTATTGTGGCCTTCTATTCTCATAAGAGAATAGAAGCTTCAACTTTCAAATCTAGGGAAAACTTCTTTTCCTTAGTGAATTTTCTTATTTTATTACTTATATTCTACTTTTCTGTCGCTTTATGGTTCTTCTGGTTTATTTATTTATTTTTTTGGAAGGCTTTGTTACCTGTTATTTATTTTTTCTTTTATTTATTTTCTTAATACTTCATTTATTATTTTTATTTTGTGTATAAGTAAGTGTATTGACTTCATGTATGTAAGTACACCCTTGTCCTGCAGTGCCCGGGGAAGTCAGAAGAGGGAGTTGAATCCCCTGGGACTGGAGTTACAGAACGTTGTTAGCCACCATGTATATACTGGAAACGAACCTCAAGTGCTCTGCAAGAGTAGCCAGTGCTCTTAACCTCTGAGTCATCTCTCCAGCCCCTATTTTCTCTTTTAAAAGATTCATGTAAATCTCACCTCATTATCTTGTTATGGGGTTATTATTGTATCAGTTTCTTTCCTATACAACCAGCTGTTGTTTTTAGGTAGTTATAATACTTTGTTTTACTTGCATTTTAAACACTGTCATTTTCTAAATCTTTTGTGCTCCTTAAGAATGAAGTATAGACTATATTGATTTTTCCCCTCATCTATTGTCTTTATCTTCACATAGAAAATTAATTTTTTTCTTAAAGCAAGCCCGTTTATGCACTTACAACTGCCTTTTTATTCAATTTGTATATATATATGTATATATTTTTTAGCTTTTACAAAAACTTTATTGAGAATTTCATACATGTATATAAGGTGTTTTGATCAAATCCATGCCCACTACCCCCCCCAACATTTCCCCCTCTGAAGAGGTAACCCTAAAATCTTTTAAGGATTAGATACAAGCTCCAAAAATTTTTGACATTTTTGGCCTTTGGAACAGAGTATGTTGATAATAGTCCCAAGGACATTTTGACTTTTAGCCAAGAAACTGGCTACTTTTCTTTGGGGTCTTTTTACCCTAACTGCCTAGCCAATTCCTACCTCCTATTCTTATCATAGTATCCTCTAAAGAGGTTACCCAAATTGCCAATAGGGAATCGGGATGCAGACCGCTCTAGCTTCTTCCATCCTGAACAGGGATGCAGGGTGAGGCAGTTGAAGTACCCCTTCAGTGGGTCTATCCAAAAGACTCCCAAATTGTATAACTCTTATCTCTAGGGGGAAAAGAACATCCTTGAATCATGAATAGGAGATATGAAGGAGAAGTAAAGGCAAGAGTAATTAGCATTACATGTTCTAGACAGAGAACTAGAAAAAAGTCAGAACAGGGCAATTTTCAAATGTTCATATGAAAGTCCACTGGAATTTCAGGTTCTTCCTCATTTTTCTTTTGTCTTCCAAGGCTGGACTAGTTGGCTGGGAAGAGTGGCTAGATATTCAGGTGAGGGTCAAGTGACCCTGCTTGACACTCCTTTAATGAATGAGCACAACTGTCAATAAGCCCAATTGTGACTATGTTTAGCGATCAGGCTCAGCCAAAGTTGTGATGATGGTAGATATTTTATGCAGAAGGGACTGCTGTATAGCATCATCTTATTAAAAGGACCTGGAATTTAAAAGGATTTGGTGCTAGGAACCACATATAAGGGAGAACATACTTCGTTTGTTTTTCTGAGTCTGTGTTACTTCACTTAGTATGACAGTTTTTATCTGGAAGAGAAAATTAAATGAAATAAAAAATGTTAGAATGGGACATAATTTGGACAGTCTAAATACAAGAGTTGGCAGTAAAGATTTATTACTGATACAATGATGTTGTTAAAAGCAAAATTATACCTTTTCAAATAAAAATTGTATAACATGCATAGGAATATAAATTGAGGAAAGCTCTGTTAATCTGTCTTTCACATCAGTTGTAAGCAAAAACTGAACAGAACTCATGAAAGAGATGGTGAATCTACAGAAAATTAAGACCATTGCTGATTTAATTTATAGCAATTGATTTGCAATTAGAGATATTGTAGTGTTAGCTCTGACTTTTTCATACTTGATTGGAATTAGGATCTTCTGCCCTTTGAGAGCTGAGGAAATGAACTCTCTTGCAGAATAAAGCAACTGCTGCTGCTATTATGGAACATAAAAGGAAGAGATAATCTAAAGGAAAGGTCAGCAAACATTTGTAAAGAGTCAGGTAATAAATATTTTAGGATATGCAAATCAGACTGTTTCTGTTGTAATCACTTAGCTGTGCTACTGTAGCACTAAACTTACCATACATATTGTTACAAGTTATGTAGCTGTATTCTAATAAAACTACAAAAGCAGTAAGCAGCCTACATTTGGCTAACGGAACATAGTTTGCCAGTTCCTAAAATAATCAGCCAGACCCCTAGACAGGACTTGACAGAGTGACTCCTTCAAAAACTGATTTCCTAGTTTTCCAAAATCCATAAATCCAGTTTTATCAGTGTATGAGAGTTATGAATATTCTGTGTAGTTTATGATGGCCGTTGAAAAGAAATTAACCCAATTTTCATCTTTTCAATTTACTTTTCTGAAAAATGAGGTCTTAGTATCTCTTGGTTAGAGTATCATTATCTAGGAAATAGAATTGCTAAATTTATCAGAAGGAAATTACCAATTAGGTAATATTTTATGGTAGGTTAAAATAGGAAATGGTGAAGGATATTGAACCATTTATCCTCATAGTAGTGACCAGCAGTGCTTCTTCGGTAACTGGAAGTTTTGTTCTCCCTGGGTAAATGGCAGACCGGAGTTTCCTAGAACCCGTATTAAAAAACCAGCTTTGATGTCACCCATTTTTAATCCCTGCACTGCGGGGTAGAGACAGGCAGATCCCTGGAGATCACGTGCTTGCTAGCCAGCTTAGGGTAGTTCAGAGCTTCAGGCCAGTGAGAGACTGTCTCAAACACTGAAGGAATGATACCCCAAGGTTCACCTCTGACCTTCACTAGTGTGTGCACATACCTGCATCCACATGAAATGCACACATATACAGAAACAATTTTGTTCTCTGGACTTTTTTTCTTCAGTCATGAAATACTGTATTATGTGTTGTTGGTTTGTGGAATCTCCTTAGTAGCTGATCTGTTAGAACTTCATTTCTTCAGGCAAGGTACAATATAGATTAGTTTCATTCTGGGCCCAGGTCAGAACACTATTGCTTAAATAAGTAAATGTAGTCATTACGTAGACAACAGCTTGCAAACTGTATGTGCTTAATAAATATTTGTTGATTACTTGAATTTATCTTTTCCAGTGACTAATTTCTAATCTTGTTTCAACTACAAAATTAGAAGAATTAGTTTGGAAGTTAGTAAAATTTTGTATAAATGACTTATTCTCAACCATTTCTTTTGCTTGTGCAAGCCTCAGAATGCTGAATATATTTTATATGATCTTCAACAGTTGCCTTGTTGAAATGTAATACAGTAGTTGGAATTGGCATAATGTTGACATTAGCTTTGATTAATTTTTAAAATTCATTGAAATTGTCCTTATAAATTATTTTTATTGGAAGATAGCACATAAAGTCACAAATCTTTATGAACAGCTTAGTCTATTTTTTTATGATGAACACATCAATGTAATCACTACCCATATCAAAATACAGAATACTAACGGAATGTCTGAAGCTTCCTTTGCAACTCCTCCTGGGAAGTAACCTTGAAAGATTCTGGCTATTTTGGTTGACAACACTAGAAATTAGTTTTCCCTGCTTGAATATCATATAATGGAATCTTACAGTATCTGTTCCTTTTCCATTTTTATGGTGGGAGAGGATCTGGCTTTTTGACCATTATTATGTGTGAAAATTTTCTCAGGCAATAGTTTGCTTCATTTACCAGCATATGTACTTACCATACTTGATGTACCCATTCTACTTTAAATATTATTGTCCATGGCTTTCCAGATACATACATTAGTTTTAGTATGTGTGTATGTACCTGGGATGCCTGGCTCATAAGATATCTGTACTTTCTACTTTAATTTTTATTTATTTATTTTATTTTATGTGTGTGAATGTCATGCCTGCATGTATGTAAGTGGACCCATGTTGTGCAGTGCCCAAAGAAGCCAGAAGAGGGTGTTTGATCCCTTGGAACTGGAGTTACGGACAATTGTTAGCTGCCACGTGGGTACTGGGAACTGAACCAGGGTCCTCTGTAAGAACAGCCAGTGTTCTTAACCACTGATCCATCTCTCCAGCCCCACTATCTACTTTAATGCACAAGTCTGTTTTTATTCATTTTTGATATGCAGACTGACTTTGTATACTGACTTTATTCCATGAACTTGGTAAATTGTTTTATTCATTTTTATAATACTTTTATTTTAGAATTTTTCTATGTATATAAACAGATCATCTGTGAATATTGATGGTCTCCTTTCTCTGTGCCATTTTTGTTTTTAAATGGAGTACATTTTGTTTACATCTCTAGTTCTATATAGATATAAACATTGATAGTAGACATCCATGTCTTATTCCTAAACTCAATGGAAATGCTTTTTAATAACTCAAAATTATATATGATGCTTTTGGTAGGTTTTTTTTTTAGTTAGGCTGTTTATTCCTAATATAGAATCATATGAATGAATACATGTTGATTATTAACAGATATTTTGTGCACTTATGGTGTCACTGTTAAATTTTTATTAAAATGGTGAATTATATTGATTTTTAAATGTTAAATCTGGCATTTCTGGAATAAAACCTGATGATTCCTGATTTATTATCCTGTTAGGCTCAATGATTAAGAGCACTTGCTGTGCTTATAAGGTCCTGAGTTTGAATCTCCAGCCTGTACCTAAAAAGCCAGACATGACCATGGGTACCTATAATTCCAGCCATTGGTAGTTGGGG